CAATTCTATTTTTCTGCAAAGTCTAACAAATTTTCTCTTCCTGGAGTAGAATGAAAAGTCATCTTGTTAGTTTTCTCTCATGAAATGTAAATATAGCTTCCTACAAATCTCATTGACTTTATATCAATGTCCGAGTTTTGCTTTCTGTTCATTGCCAATTCCAGTTGTTTGCAGTTCTTCACACTATGCTATTTACAGGTATCCCAGTTACTATTCTGTGCATTCCTGTGCCTGCTCTCTTCCCCTCCTCCCTATAAAGAGACAACAGATTTTGAGTAACCCAATCAACCCCGGGAAGAGAATTGTTATCTGGGCCCTCATCAAATCAAGCATTTTGCTGGGGACAGATGAAGCCCAGAGGAGCCCTGCGAGGCTGCTGTGCTGCCCTGCTCCCTCCTCAAGCCCCCAGGCAGGCAGAGCCCTGTCGCTCATCTCCTGTCTGGCAGAGGGGGCTGCAGCTAGAGGGACAGGGAGAAGAGGAATAAAGAATGAGAAACTGCAAATGATTATGTGAAAAGACCATCCCTGAGAAGCTGCACATACATTTTGTTTTCACATCTATGCCAAAGAGCAGTGCTTCTGCAGGGTCACTTGTTTTCCTTTCTCCATATAAGCACAATGCACTGCTGCTTTTCTACAGCTGGAAACACTGTGAGAGGCATAACTTATCCCTGAGCTTTTCATGTCAAACTTTCTGTAGTTTGAGTTTGGAGTTGCCAGTCTTAGAGCAAATTGTGCTTCCTTTTTCAGACCTGAGTGAGAAGGGCCCTCTCACAGTGTGACAACAGCCTGGGTCTGGCACGGGCAGCCACAAGTGCAGCACTTCTTGAAAACCACCCAGATATGATGGGCTCTGTGTACTTTGAAGAATCTTCTGTCCTTCTGCTAAGCTGGATAAGGATGGTGTATGTATCTCTGGTCCATTGTGAATGCCCATTCAAATGGTTTATTTACCATTTTACAATCATAAATTTCAGTGTATATAGTCATGTGAATAATATCTTGTTTTAGCAGGTCATTTAAATTTGAAGTTGAATAAGATCTTGCATGCTCTCTGAAATGACAGGCAGGTTCCCAGACCAGGTTTGCAGTAAATAGAAGCACCACCTTCTTTGCTGATGTAACACAGAAGTATCATTTTGTAATCACAGGAAACCCTTAGTAGATTTTATGGTATTAGTTCAATATTCATGATCCAATATAGATTAAGCCAGCCAAAAATTGATCCTTCCAATGCAGCAAAAAAGGTGTCAATCCTCTCCCCACAAACCAAACCAAACCAAACCAAACCAAACGAAACCAAACCAAACCAAACCAAATCAAACCAAACCAAACCCAAAACCAACCAAATAAATAAAACTAAAGCAGCAACCTTCAGGAAATTAACATTGAAGTTATAATTTGAATATACTTTGCAGAGAGGAAAAATAAAATAAGGCTTAATCAAAATGTAGTATGCAGGAAGATGGCATCTGCCTTGAGAAACTTAACACTGAAGCTTTAAACAAGAGGCAACACACACATGGAGGCAGATAGGAATCAGAGCTGCATATCATCCCCAAGAGTATTGGCTCATTGTCTACCCACAGTTACAATTTTCTCCAGGTAACAGGGCAACTTTAAAAAAAGAAAGGAATTTACTATGCTAAAAAATCTTTCCCATTCTCTTAGTAAAATTCTGAGCCAGCATTACACATGACATTGTTAATTCATTAAATATCATTGTGATTAATTACATTCAATAGATATGAGGTGCATTCAGGTTCAGTGCAACTTCATTGACCCCAGAGCTGGTACAGCTGTTTAAATCAGGGCAGAAGTGGTCATGTACTACTTCCCACTTGGACTTAAACCAGACATAATAAAGATATGAGTTGTATGAAACACGGTTTTAGGCTGCTATCTCCTAGTGATCATGCCACATGTAATTATTTTCTATGTTCTAAAGCAGAAGCATATTTAAATGTGATTTTTTTTTTTCCTGGTAGCTTCTACCTGTGAGTATCCTTTGGAATACTCAAATGGTCCTTTTAATTTATCATAAGGATTTATGAAGATTATAGAAATAAATTCTATAGACACGAACAGAATAGAATGGAGCATTCCCCATTGGTTTTTCAACAATTTTCTCTTAAGATGCACCTTAATAAAGAATTAAAGTCCATCTTCAGAATTATATCAAACATTTTAATAGCCACATTTGTGCCTTTTGAGGCTAGTCTAACTTCCAGATTTTTTTCACTGACCAAACCGAAATGGGACAGATCCTAGATTAGCAACCTTAGACCTAGTGGTATGTCAATCTTTTATCACTGTGAGAGGCTTTTTTTTAAAATTGTGATTAAAAGACCCTCTTTCCTTAGTCCTGAACATTTTGGAATGTATCTTCTATATCCACATGATCATGCTACAGCAAGATATAGTAAGTGCACGTTGTCATATATCTTTACATCCCTACTTGGTTTCATCCCTATCAAGTTCTACAAGAGCAGGAGGGAAGACAAGAGGGAAGGTTTGCACTTTGACCCGTTGTTCATATTTTGATTCTTTTATGTGTACCAAATGTCAGTCATTCTGTCGTCTATTTAATCTCGGACACCTATGGAAGATTAAGAGAGGGCAGTTCAATGAGCAGAGCAGGAGAGGGAAGGATAGATGAGCTACAGCAGGCAGATAATGTAAAAGCCAACTCAAAGTTCTCAAAAAACTCCAGCCGTCGCCAGCCATCGCCAGCCGGCATCCTTCAGACAAAAAGGAGGAGTTTCCATTCAGGCTTAAAAATCTCCATCTTCTAAAAGATTGACATGTGAGAATTCTAGAAGGGAAAACTGTCCTTCTTTACATAACTTTGAATTAATCCTTTAATTCTTCCTTCTTTTGATTTAAATATGTTCTTGGCCAGCAGTCTGGATGTACACATGTTTATAACTGTGCAGCAAGAATTTAGAACATATGTAGTGTTCATGTTTTGCCAGCTTGTCGTTTTGATCCATCCAAAATCCCATTATTCTAACCTTTCTCCCAAGCTGCTGGGTCATCTTTCTCAAGTAAAGTAACCTGGAAATAAAAGTGAGCTTTGTTTTTGGAGATCAAAGATCTTTTTTGATCCATCTTTTGGTAACCAAAGCCTCCTCTCCCTTGCATGGTGCTTATCAGTAGTAGGTGCAGTGAAACTCCTCTCAGCACAAAATTGTCCACTTGGGTAGGGTAAGGTTGTGCTGCTGTGCCAGCACCTACTGCATGTGTACCATGGAGAGAGGAGGGAATTTCTTTGGATAAAACAGTGAGTGCATATTAATGTGAGACTTTGACCAGAAAAAAAAAGTTGCAGTATTGGTGGTTGGCAAAATAACCTGCCTCACAGTCCTTCCCGGGCTATCTGAATGGAATAAATGGGATTTGGGAGAGCATGGTGAACCAGTTGTCACCCTCAGATACCAGATAATGACATCCAGAAAATAAGGGGGAAAAAAAAAAAAAAAAAAAGAGAGGGAGAGAGAGAAGGGAAAAAAAAAAAAAAAAGAGAGAGAGAGAGAGAGAAAAAGCTATGTGTGCAAAATTTCAGAGAGAAGGCACCCAAATTGGTAGCTGTTTTTTAGGATTAAAATTGTAGTATGAAGCAGTCCGGGCAGGTTGCTTTGCACAGGCTAGAAAAGGAAGGTTTCTGAGTGGTTTGTGCTCATTTTCCACTTGCCCGGACCTGGGCTGCGTGTCGGGCAAATCCGCTGGCAAATGTTAACACTGCCCAAGGGACTGAAAGTGAAGCTGGGGGCTGATGTGGCATGCGGTTGCCATGGTACTGGCCATAATCCTGCCGGAGTCAGATACCCTGATGATACGGCGAGTTTGAGCTTGCTCTGGAGTACAGCGCAGTGACCCTTCCCAGCAGCATCTGCTTGTGTTTTAAACTTTTGATAAATTCCATAGCCAACGAAATCAAAACAATTTAAATAACAAGCCGAGCCTGGCCAAAGTCCAAGTTCAGGCTGCTGCGTTTCTCATTGGTACTGCTGTTTAATGTAGATCGGAGCAAAAGCGAAGATATTCGGGGTGGGAGCGAGGCACTTTTTGGAGATTCTTTCTCCCCTCCTCGTAGCCTTAGTCCCAGAACAAGAGAATGAAACTAGATTCAACCTCCGGCGAGGTTGCTTAGCGCGTTTAGGGAACTGTCTTTAATGAACGCGTTTCTCCCCCTGGATGTTCCCGGCGGGTAAAGCCGCCCGTGTGCGAGGATGTTCCGCGGAGCTCTGCTGCCTCCAGCCCTGCTGTGGCGGGGGCTTGAAGAAGTCGCGCAAACTCGCGGGGAGAAAGCAACCACCAAAGTTGGAGAAAACCACCCCCAGCTCTATCCCCGCCTCTGCGCGAGCGAATCTGCACAAGCCAAACTTGTGCAGTTTGGGGAGGAGGGGGGCAGCTTTCCTCGAGGAAGGGGGGTTTGTGTGGGTTCGCTGCAGATGTGCTCCAGCCGAGCGGGGCGTGCGGGGGCTCCCGGCGCGGGGCCGGCGGAGCGGATCCCACCGCGCCCCACAGAAAGCCCCGCACCCAAAATGGTGCGGTTCGCTGAGGCGAGGGGGCGATCCGGGATGGAAGGGGCTGGGGGGAGGAGAGAGAAGATCCGGAGCGGTGCGCTGCTCCCGCGCCAAAAGGGTGGGAAGGTTTAGATTTCCCTTTTTTTTTTTTCTTAAAGGGCGGGTGAAAGAGAAAACAGACCCTAGAGCCAGTTTTCCTCTTGTGTCAGGGCTTGAAAGCGCTCCAGCTTCTTCCTGCAGGCTGCTCAACTTCATCCCTCGTGTGTGTGCATGCGTGCGTATATCTATTCTACACATAAAGTAGGTGTACGTGTGCGCGCCGTGTCCCACCGGCGGCCCGGGCGGATGGGCAGCGGGAGCCCCTCACCTCTGCACGCCGCCCCCATCCCTCCCCAGCCCTCCCTCTCCCCGTCCCTCCCCGCCCGCCTCCGCGGAGCTGCTCCGCGCCTGCAGCCGGGAGAGCACCGCGCCGCCGCCGGGATCCGCGGCAGCTTTTGGCGAGGAGCGGAGCGGAGCGGGGGAGAGGCACAAAAGGGAAGGACGGAGGGAAAGTCCCTCCCACGCCCCCCTCCCCCAAGTTTATGATGGGGGTCCGGAGGAGCTGCGCTGCTCCGCGGCAACCGCTCGTCTGCTGAAAACTTGCTGCTTCGCTTTTTGGGTAAAGTTGATGCTTATTGTATCTTTTCATTATGGTTTTTATTCTCTTTTTCTCCCCTCCTCTTCTCCCGCTTTGGTTGGAGCTGCCCTGCGCCGGTGGGGGGTGTGTGAGAGGGAGGGTGCAGTTTGGTGAGGGTCTCTCCTCGCAGCGGGTGTCCGAGAGGGGCCCGTCCCGTGTGTCCCCCCGAGCTCGCAGGTGAGCAGGGAGGATGGGGCCGCGCCTGTGTCCGGTGTGTGTCCCCCTTTCCCGGCCAGACCCCTCCGGGACCGTGCCTCCACGGCCATTGTTTTTCCGGGGGCTGCGGTGACAGTCCCAGCCCCGGGCTGCTGCCGGGACCGCCTTGACCTGGGTCCCGGAGGACGGCAGAGCTCCCCAAAGCCAGAATTGAGTTTGTCTTTTTTTTTTCAGAAGAAAAATGAAGTTGCCCCCTCGCCTCCTTGTCATCCCCCCATCCGGGAGGGGCAATCTTTCGACAAGTATATTTGCTGAGGAATTTAAAAAATTCCCCGCTGCAACTTGATCCCTGTGTGATGAGGAGCGGCTTGGAGAGACCCGGACTCCAATCCTATTAAGGACTTAGAGAGTTGAGAGTTTTTTCCCCGGACTCGGTGGCTTTAAAACAATCAGGGAGGAGGGGAGGGAGATGGGCTCATCTAGATGCCTTTTCTGCCTCAAGTGATTGCCATCATTTCCTGGGAAACCTGACTTTTCCAGCGCGGGGCTTAGGGTGATTTATCAGTGGTCCTGCTGCCGGCTTTTCCGAGGTTTACGGGTTTATTTATTTATTTATTCATTTAGCTAACCTGCGGCCAAGGCTTCAAAACTTCCCGGGCCGGGGCTGCGGCTTAGCCGCCGTGCGGTGCCCCCTCCGCGGGCCGGGACCCGGCTCGGCCCCCGCTGCATGGCCCGGGTGGCCAAATGTCCCGGAGCGGGGTCACCCCGGCCGGGCCACTGAAACTTGTGTCTTCCTATAGCTGCCCTCGCATTTCATACTGCCCCAGGTGCTGGAAAACCTCGTGCTTACAGAAATTAGCATTTTATTGGTGTATGGTGTTTATATTTTTACGGCCACAGATAAAGGCACTAGTTGTAAAACCTTGTCTACCCCCTACCGATCCCCTTCTTTTTCTTTCTTTTTTTTTTTTTTTTTTTTTTTTTTTTTTTTTTTTTTTTTTTTTTTTTAAGTGAGGCTCTTGGGATGTGCAAGAATGTGAAAGTAAGCGTTACTAGCATGTGCATAAAACAGCATTTAAACAAATATTGTATTGGCATGTGCTGTGCAGTTGGTGCCAAAAAAAGTTAAGTAAATAAGCCATGAAATTCAAAATACACACAAGTGGAATAGACTGATTTGTTGTAAGACTTGCTGATTTTATCTGCTTGTTCTAGCTACCTTGCTTTAAGAAAAACTTTGGAGTTTTTTTGGGGGCTGTTTTTTTTTTGTTTTTTTTTTTTTTTTAAGTTTAAACCTAATAAAATTAACTTCATTAGAAAAGAAACTAAATTCACCTAGAAAAGAGGATCTTGTTAAATAATTAAATAATTGTTTATGCTGCTGGAATGTTTGCATTGCGTGATAATTGACAATTACTGCATACAGCAACTACCGTTGATGAATTGGTTTGGTTCAGCTTTTCTATTGGGTGTATATGGTAATTTGTATTTTGGCTGTAACATCAGGAAAAGGTGACACCTGTCAAACTTTGAATTGCAATAAAAATGTAGTATTGAATGTTATTGCAAAACTGACAACTTTTAAGAAGCAAATGAAATTCATTATGGCTTTTCCACTGTAAACAACTCCTGGAAATTTGTCATTTGATTGAAAGCATGACCTATCTGTAGCACTGAAAAGTGCCTGATTGACTGAAGATGAACTTGTTAATCTATAGGTATGTGTATATCCAACCTCTGGTGTGTGTTTGTGAAAGAATTGATCTTTAAAGCAAGTTGAGGTAAGATTCACTTCATCTCGAATGTATGTGACTTTGAAGTGCCCAGAAATACAACTGCTGTTCTTCAAAGGAAAACAGATCTTGAGGACTGTTTCCAACTTCCTTTCAATGTCTTTCTTTTTTTTTTTTTCTCCAGTGTGTCAAAGGGGATGTATACAGATGGACAAGTACTATTTGTGTTAGTTCCTTCAATTAGAGAAAAATTAGAGACATAGAAGAATTTGAACTAGGTGCATATGTCAATATAAATCTAGCATAATTTCATTGTAGCTACTCCAGGTTATACTTGGATAAAAGAGAATAGAACTTGACCTCAGACATCCAACACATAGCAGCTTGCATTCCCAAATGTCACACTGAAGTCACATTTAGAAAAGACAGCCTTCTGGCTGCATATCTATAATGAGCAGTATTTTTGTCATTGTTTTGAAAACCAGTTAGAACTTCTATGTCAAAGAACCATTTTTGATTATGTTTTCTGTGATTCTAATCATCTTACAAGTTTATACCACAACTTCCCTTTCAGTGGCACAGTTGTATAGAAGCTGCACAGGCTCTGGGGCTGTGTGATCAGCTGTACACAGAAAGGGTTATGTGTTAGCTGCTGTTTTGTCTGACTTGAAAATACATTTTTCATTATCTCGATACTTTGTTTCTATTAAGAACATTTGAATTTTCAGTCCTCTGGACCTGTCTTTTTTTTAATTTAAGGCTAGGGTAGAGCATATGACCTAGCAGCAGTTGCAATTGCGGAAGACACTTGGTTAACTGCCTGCCCCTGTTTTTGGTGGCCTACTGTAAGGCAGTTGTTTGCCCTGTAGTCTGAAAGGTACACAGATACTTCATGCTTTTGTACTCTGAGAAGTGCTCTGTTCATAGTGAAGTTTCCAGTGCAGATTAGTGAAGGCAGTGGATTTAGTAAGCAGTCACCAAAATCTGTATGTATTTGTGGAGCAAACACCTATCTATTGCCCCATCACAAAGCCTCCACTTAATAATCTGGCCAAGGATTTCAAGGCAGTGAGTTTTTTCAAAGAAGCTACTTAGGAACATTAGATGTGACTATAGCATCAAACTAATTAGTTGCCACTCCATTTCTATGAAGCTACTAGGGCTTTATAGAAATGCAATATTTGCACTTCTCACTTGCTGCTAAGGCATTGAGGTTAAGCGGTCTCTGCTTTTTGTCCGCTTTCTTGCTGATGGGAAAGATTCCAGGGCATTGTTCAAGAGCTGCACAACCCCCTTATGTACCTGGGTAAATATTTTAAACAGTTGCACATTTGGACAACTTGCCACAAAGCATTAAGTGGTATTTAGGGTTTGCTTCAGCTCTGTTGCCAGGACCCTTTTAAAGAAAACCAAAACAACTTGTAGGTATTTGGGAATTAATTAATGCAACACTACAAAAAATAACAGCAAAGAATGAATCTTCATATGAATGACAGCAAGAAGGCATTGTATTAGAAAGGCAAATAATACATGTGTGCCTGTACATATGCACACATTTGTGTGCATGCATGGAGTATACACAGTTCATGACCTGTGTATACAGCAGATCCCATATATATGCATCTTCTAGAAACTAACTGGTGTTTGGTGTAAAAGGAAAGAAAAATCCCATCTTGCATGGCAGTCTTGATTGTTCAAAAGGCAAAATTGCAGGTTTCCCTTGTGAACAAGTGACTGTAATGGAAGCAGTGGTTAATCAGGTCAAACTTTCTACAGACCAGTTCCAGGTGGGAGTGAATTCATGTTTGATATGTGTAGTCCAGGAGAGGCCACAGAACTTTGTTCATTCACTTTTGGCTACTGTAAAACCACAACCCATAACCTTTAACTTCTTATAAGCGAAGTGAACCCAAATGCATTGAAGATGAAATGTGTTGCACAAAGGGAACAGGAAAATGATCCTTTAATTCAGAAGGTCAGAGTTTGTAAAAATTGTTTGGGATTTGTGAATATTCAGTACCACAGCAAAAAGAGGCCTTAGTGCCTGGAAGTGGACACCCAAATTAGAAAAAAATTGAATATAGGCTCCCTTGGACTCCTATTGTAATGTGTGGAAGCGTTTCTGATACTGTCATGGGCATGACTGCCCAAATACATTAGTTACTGGTGAATCTTTTCTTATAGTTTCACAATTATTTGTGATTGGCTGTCACCTTTCTGCAATTATAAATATTCTAAGAGGAAACAATACAAATTAGAACTGTAGGTACCAGGATCTTTGTACTGGATGTGTTTCTTTTTACTTTCTAAGTGTTCTTTTTCATATGAAAAGAGTCTTGCAGCTTTATCCTTATTCAAGTCTTTTCTTTTTGTATCTACTGGGGAGAAAACCATTAATTTTGAGGAATGGTGAGAGTAAGCCTTAAGCTGTCTTTGACATTTTAGTTTAACTTGAATAGGTTAATTTTTTTTTTTTTAAGAAAACAAGTTGGTGGGAAGTGTGTTTTAACTGTGAGCGCCCGATTTTGGCCATTAGCATAAGAAAAAAAGTTTTAGTGCATTTACTATTGTATTGAATGAAGAGTTCCAACAGTCAGGGAAAAGAAAGTAAAAGGCTGTAAAGAAATGATGGTCTATTCAGATTATTCAGCAGCCCAGAGCTCTGGTCATCTGCCTCTGAAATCTGTGATCGGGATATCACTTTTATCTTCCTGTGCCTTTCTCTCTCCTATTTCACATGTTCACTTTTGTCAAGGTTTATTGATCACGTTTTCTTCTCTGCAAATCTGTGGAAAATTTAATGAACCAAAAACAACTGAGAAATAAAAGGAACTTTTTATTCATTCGTCACTAGGTTGAATTTTGTTCTATAGTCACTAGCCTCTTGCCTCCCATGTGCCTCATTGTGTCACTCCTGTAGCAGTTACAGTATGTACAGTGAGGATGGCCACATTATTAATTCTCTTCCAGGGAAAAGTTTGTTTAAAGTTGTGAACTCACAGCAGCCCCAGCTCTGCTCCTTGGCTTTTCTGTGCCTTCCTGACATTTGGATTCTTGACTGTGGTGCTTCTGTCACTAAATACCTTTAAGTGT